GCTACCCCAAATTGCTTTCAGGGTCCTGGTGCATGGAACATTTTTCTCTGTCCTGTGAATTTTAGCCTATAAATTTATTTATGTACTAGATGAGTTTCTTGAATGAAGACTGTTAGATTCTCTTTTTGATCCAGTCTGCCAGTCTGTGTCTTTTAATTGGTGAGTTGAAGCCATTTACATTGAGAGTTACTATTGAAAGGTATTGATTTATTCCTCTTATGGTTGTTGTTGACATCTTAATTTTTCCTTTTTTTTTTTGTACTGGGGATTAAACTCAGGACCTTGCACTTGTAAGGCAGTCGTAGTGCCACTGAGCTAAATACCTGGCCCTAATTTTTCCTTTTTTGTTTAACTACTCACCTTGTTTCATATTTTCATTCCATCTAATGTTTGGTAGTGTTGGCACCACTGACTCTGTCTAGAATATTCTTGAGTACTTTTTGGAGTGCTGGTTTGGTACTCATGTATCTTGTAAGATGTTCTTTGTTGTGGAATATCCTATTTCTCCATTAATTTTAAGAGGCAGTTTTGCAGGACATATTAGTCTGGGTTGAAAGTTGTTACATTTTAGGGCTTGAACCTGTTCACTCCAAGCTCTCTTTGCCTTTAAACTTTGTACTGAGAAATCTGTTGTAATTCTAATGTGTTACCTTTATACGTAATTTTTTTTTTTACTTACTTTCATATTTCTCCCACACACACACACTACCGGGAATCAAACTCAGGACCTTGCACTTGCCAGGCAGGCATGGTGCCACTGAGCTAAATCCTCACCCCCTCATATTTCTTATAATGCAGGTGTAATGGTGATTATTATTTCAGCTTCCATATGCCCAAAAAAGTCTTTATTTCACCTTCAATTTTGAAATGTATTTCCACTGTGTACAGAATTGAGGTTGACAGGGGTTTTTTTCTCAGTGATTAAAGATACTGCTCTATGTTCTTCTTCATTGCATTCTGTTCAAGGATGTATCTGTAGTTTTCCATACCTTTTTCCTCTGTACATGTTTCTTTTTTCATTTAGCTATTTTTAAGGAGTTTTTCTTCTTAATTGCTGATTTTGAAATTGTGATGGACCTTTGTACAGTTTCTAACTTATTACTCATGTTTGGAGATCACTGCTAATCTTAGATTCATGGGCTTACACTTTTTGCTAAGTTTGGAAATTCCATTGCTTATTATTGAAGTATTTTTTGTCACTCTAGTCTCTCTCTTCACCTTAAAGAACTCCAACTACACATCTACTAAGTTGCTTGAAATTCTACCACAGCTCAAAAATGATATAATTCTTTTTTCTGCATTTTTTTTGAAGTTTGTATTGCTATATCTTCAAACCCTTTATCTTTTTTAACCTCAATATCTAATCTACTCTTTATACTATCTCATGTATTTTTTATCTCAGACATAATATTTTTCATTTCTAGAATTTTGATATGGCTCTTTTTTATATGTTTTTATCTCTTGATTTTTTTAATATATGGTATATATTAGTAACTCAATTGACAAGTAAAATTTGTATAACTTTATGGTATATAAATAATATTTTGATATATGTATACATTTTAGAATGATAATCAGACTATTTAATATGTGAATTACTTCATATACTTATTTTTGCTGTGAAAGCATTTAAAATTGACTCTCCTAACAATTTTCTAGTATACAGTATAGTAAATATAGTCGCCATGATATACAGAAGATCCCTTGAACTTATGCCTCCTGTCTAAGTGAAACTTTAAGCTCTTTAACCAGTATCTTTTTCAATCTTATCAAATTTCAGCCTCTAGCCGGGGATTTAGCTCAGTGGTTTCACCGCCTGCTGAGCAAGCGCAAGGACCCGAGTTCAATCGCCGATACAAAAAAAAAAATTTTAGCCTCTGCTAACCACTGTTTTACTGTTTATATGACTTTGACTTTTTTAGACTCTACATATAGGTAGAATGACACAGCATTTCTAACTTTTTGTTAGCCCTGGGTTGGTTTCAATTGATTAATTTTTATCCTCATTATGTATTCTATTTTGGTACTTTTTTAGCATACTTAGTAATCTTTAACTGGATGCCACACCATGTGAATTTAAAATTTCAGTGCAGATTATTTTTGTATTTCTGTAAAATTTCTGGAGATTTGTTCTGGATGCATTTTAAGTGAACTAGGAACAGTTTGCTCCACTTTGGGTCTTCATTTTGAGACTTAGTAGACAGGACTGAAGCCTCCTCCCAATGCATGACCATCTACATACTCTACCCACGGACCATGAATCAAAATTTTCCAGTGCAGCTGGTGTGAACAGACATTATGTTCAGTCTCCACATGTATGCACTACTCAGCCAAATACTCAAGGAAGACCCTCTTCAGATATCTTGATTGATCTTTCTGTGCACTTCCCTCCTCTCTGGTATTGTATGGGACAAACTCTATCTGACTTGGATTTCTCAGATGCTCAGCTTCATCTACTCAACTCAGGGAATCTGTTGGGCTCTGGTTCAGTTCACCTTCCCTATACTGCCATCTGGAAAATCTTTCAAGAAAGTAAGGTGAGGCAATCATAGAGCTCACCTTACATGTTTGCCATCTCTGCCCTTGGTTATCTATGCCCAATGTGTTGAAAACCACTGGTTTGTGTATTTTGTCTATTTTTTGTTTGTTTAAAATGAGAGAATAAATTCCTGTTACTCCATATTGGCCAGAAGCAGAAATCCTACCAAATACATGGTTCTGTTTCTTCAATTGTATACTGTTTCCTTCCACTTTCTTATGCCATCCATTTCTCTATATGTACTGTAATTTTCTTATCAAAGTTATATTCCCCAACTAAGTTTTGGTAGCTAGTAAAAATTGGTATACTCTCTTAGAGAAGCAAATTGAAAATATCTATCAAGAATGTAGCCAGGGATTTAGCTCAGTGCTTCTGCCACCTGCCTCGAAAGCGTAAGGTCCTGAGTTCAATCCCTGCTACCAAAAAAAAAAAAAAAAGAATGTAAATATATACTTAAATACATAATTTCATTTAGGGCTATAACATTAAGAAGTAAAAGATGTGTACAGGACTGGGAATTTAGCTCTGTGGTTCCACCACCTGCTTTGCAAACGCAAGGTCCCAAGTTTGATCCCCGGTACCAAAAAAAATGTGTACAAAGGTTTTTCACAAAGTTGTTTTAATAGTGAAAAATTTGAAGCAATTTAAATATTCATTGAAGAATATTTGATGGTCAAAAGAATAGCTTGCAGTACAATGTAAGGGATAAAAGTAAAATACAAAACTGCATGCACACAGTAATCCCAATTTGATGTGTGTGAGTATTCCTGTCTAGAAGAATGCAAATTTTAACACTGTTTAAACTTTTTCCAATTATCATGATTTTAAGATCAGAACAAAAGATATATTTTATTTTATTTTTGTTTTATTTGAGTCAGGGTATCATTATGTATTCAGGCTAGCCTTGAACTTACTCTGTAGCCAAGGCTGGCCTCAAACTCAGGGTAATCCTTCTACCTCAGCCTTCTAAGTAGTGGAATTACAAGAGTGTGTCACTATAACTAGCTAAAATATATATTTTAAAATGTAGTCCTTTATAACTGTGCTTCTAGATTAAGAAATGGGGATCCTCATTTTTTTCATTCTAGCAGGAAAAAAACTTAACATTTTAGTTTCTTACCTAAGTATCGTGTATCCCACTTAAAGACAATTCATAAAACATACATTTCCTTTAAACAATTATGAAGACAATTTTATTTATTTGAAGAATTTTTAGAATTTCTTTTATCTTACTTTGAACTATAATGTTTGCAGGTCCTTTTCTATCTTGATATTGCTTCTTCAGACTTTTATTTAGTGATACCACTTTATGAAGTACAAAAAAGAAAATACAAAATATATCCAAAGTATGCAGTTTAATGAATATCCTTAATCTTTCTGTTCAACCCTACGATGATATAGTGACTAACAGTGGTGGCCCTCTAGCAGTGTGAGACAGTGGGCAGGGCCTAGGTTTAGATTCAGATATTTTGAGTTGGGCATCCATGTTCTGCTGCAGCCCAGTGTGGGGGAACAGAGTCAGAGTAAGATGAAGATGGTGTTCATGCAGGGGACAGCATGAACAGGTTTAGGGTCAGGATTATGTAGCTAAAATATAGCATTTTCTTCTTTTTTACTCTATGTGAAACAGAATATGCAAAACCTTCATAAATAATGCATATACAGAACTCAAACCATCTTTTCTAAGCACTTACATTTCAAGTACATGTCTATTATGCATGTAGGTAAAGCTAGAGTTTTCATTCATATTAATTTACTTTCTCATAAAATTCCCAATAAATATAACCACAACTTTATAAATAGTAAACACTGAAAAATGCCTAACTAATGACTGGCTTCACTTTCTTATGTTAGTTTTGTTTCTTTTTTTTTTTAACCATGAGTCTTCTATTTTTAAACATCAGTTTTTATCTTCAAGGGTTTGTAAGTTAGGATGGAAGAGGTATGTGTGTGTGTGTGTGTGTGTGTGTGTGTGTGTGTGTGTGTGTGTACTGTATAGATATCATTAAAGACAAAAAGAAATCCTGGAACTTCAACATTTAATACACTTAATTTGGATTGGAATATAAAGTCCTGCAGAGCTGTTCAAAAAGAGCTCTCAGAGAGACAGCCTTTAAGTAGATTATACTTTAAGACATATCTTCCTTTAAGTATATTATACTTTAATTTCAGATTGTTTCTATTATGCTTCTATGTAGTTTCCTATCCTATGGTGTTCTACCAAAGTATACACCAGTTCATGTGGACATCTCAATATTGGACAAAGGGCAGAAACATGAACCATGACTCCTTAGGTGAGGGCATTTTAACAATATACATCGCATTCAATAAATATAAATTCAAAGTATAGATTAAGTATAAACCTTTTTAAGAAGCCTACCTTGTTTTCCACAAACTATAAGAGGAAGCCCTGTAGATTTAAGTTAACTGAATTTTTTTCCTAAAATATTTCTGATTATAGGCAACAAGTTCAAGGGTTGGTGTCTTAACACAAAATGCAACTAACATGGGACTGCCAGTAATCATCTCCCTTATATACGGATGGGAGATGACACTCTTGATTCTGATCATTGCTCCAGTCCTTGCTCTAACAGGAATGATTGAAACTGCAGCAGTGACTGGATTTGCCAACAAGGATGAACAGGAACTCAAGCGTGCCGGAAAGGTAAATGAAGGCTGCTATTAGCATCATATTTTAAAAGAAAAACAATCAGAGCTCTGTCTTTATTATATCTTAACCTCATTACTTAGGACTCTGAAGAGTGGTAACACATATAAAGAGCAGTCAGCATGGGGTAGACTAACTATAGCAATAAGGTCCATTTTTCAGACTACAAGACCTGAGTCAAACTGGCTGGGTTAGAATCCACAATCTATCACTAACAAATGTGTGATATGAGCATGTTGTGTCAAAGTCTGTGGACTTGTGTTTTTTCATCTGTAAAGTGGGAATAATAACAGAGACTTACAGATTTGTGTATTACACAGATGAGCATTATTATATACAAAACTGTGCCTGGAGACAGTAAGCACTTAATATCAGCCCTTATTACCATTACCTGTCATGGGGGAGTTTTCTAGCACCTTGATTCCCCTAATTGTTAATAATTCTCTAATTGTTAATAATTACATTTTCCTGAGCCACTCTTCTAGGTATTTTATTTTTCATACCAAACATGAAACATAATAGTTACTGAATTCAAGGCAATGCACTGATATTAATAGTACCTAAAGTAAGGTTTTAGAGACAAGGGCCACTTGAATGCTGATCAAGATGAACAATTTATGTAATTATTTGGAAAATCTGTTGGCATATTTAAGCTTCTCAGGATCAACCATGCTCATACAAATAACCATTAAATTGAAGATTTAAGGATACTTTATTGTAATACCTGTGAATTGAGATAGATGTTATTTAACCCAACCACTCTCCCAAGTAGGAATCCTTTGTACATCAGTGTCAGTTACTCTTCCATGTTCTGCCCATTCTTTCCCTCCAGTGGCAGGGAGTACATTATTTTCCCAGGCTACCTATATTTGGATAGTAGTTAGTCATAGATTTTTGTTTGTATGCTTCTTGTTGTTGTTCCTGGTTTCTTCTATCTCACTCTTGACTCTTGTCAGCTTTCGACTTGGAGAGGTCCAAAACCTGCTTTCTCTTGAACATACATCCCAGGTCTTTAAGCTGCTCATTTCATGAGATGGTTACAAAGATTTTTACCACATTGGTGGTCATCTTATGAGATATGAAAATGATTTTAATATCACTTATGGTCTGTGTCATTTTAACTGAATCACAGCTGGAACATTCATAAATCTGAATGTTCATGAGTAAGGATGCCAAGCACATATTCAGTGTATTCTGGTTTGCCTGACCCATGGCACTACCCATGGCACTAGATAAAAACCTTTAGAATGTCTGCATGTGATGTATAGACTCAACTGTTAAACAAAAATTTCCCTTGGAGACAGTGAATAGTTATTTAGCCTCCTTGTATGATTAAAATTCGTGATAATTTGCCCAATTTCTAAATTAATGAGATATTACTTAGATTTTATTCATCCTATTTGTGTGTGTGTGTCATGAGCTTTAGTTCCATGTGTGACTTTGACTATTCCAGTGATGGAAAACCTTTTAGAGACAAGTGCCCAAACTGCAACCCAAACCTAATGTATTTATTGCAAAGTGCCAACACTGCAATTAAACCTGAACACTGAGGTTTTAGTTTAGAAAAAACCACACATTAACATTTTTTGTCTTAAAAAAAATAATAACACGCATGCCATAGGCTTGCCACTACTGAATTCTTCCTTCTTATAATATTAGAATAATCTGACTTGTAATCAGTAATTTCTATCAAATAGGAAATCTAAGTCCTTTTCCTATAGTTTTTAATAAGTTAACTTATCAAGGATCAATTTAGAATACAGAGCCATAAAATAAATTGGCCCTTCTTTAGTTGCATCTGTAGATTTGCATAAATCATCAAATGTTTTTATTTTTCAGACTTAAAATGACTTTGTTAGTTTTTTACAACTATAGTATTTTCTAAGATTTTATAATGATATTCCTTTCAAAATTATGAAAAATAATCAGGAAGATTTTTTTTGTTGCTGCTCATTTCTTTTTTATTTTTCCTCAAACAAGTCTTAAGGTTTTTGTCTATTTTCCTTGCATACTACAGAATATGTTAAAAATGAAGAATTCTTTAGTTCATTTTGAAATTAATGAGAACTTAAAACAACTTAACATCAAAATTGAGAGCAGAATCCAGGTGTCCTAACCACAATCCAGAAATCTAATTCTCTGCTGCAAGCCAAGTTGTTTTCAGTTAATGTGAGGTATCTGTGTGGGGTCCTATCTCCCATAGTCCACAGCAACAGTCCGTAACTAAACATAAAAATGAGAAGTTTGTCTTTCAAGCCTACCTGTGTTCTCATGTCCAAAAAGTTATTCTAAGCCAAATCATCCTCCATCTTGAATTCTATGTAATTATACATTCTTTTTAAAAACTATATAAATATGGAGAAGCATTAATCATATTTGAATCAAATATCTTTTGAAGTTCACAGACATCAAAATGAGAAATGGTTTTATCTTATAAACAATTTTATAGGTACATCACGTAATTTATTGGAATGTTCCTGAGTGCTTTTTTGTTACTATTTGCATTTCTCTGCTAGAATAAAATAATTATTTACTCATTGCTCTCTACTATCATTTACTTAAATTGGTTCATAATTTATAGAAAGTTCCTTTGCATATAAACATAATGCTCACTAATATTTGATTTCCCTACCTGTGGAATCAATTTAAATTGAAATTCAGTAAAAACCTGAAGGGGACCAAACAGTACACTAAGTCTTTTCAAAATATATTTTCCTAAAGCTTATTATCCTGAAAATAATTTTCATATCTTATTGGGGGGTAAAGAAAGATAAGATACTTGCCAGAAAAACTTAGTGACTAGACATGCTAACTCTGTCTCTTCTATGAGTGACTGGTTCACTGCCAATAAAAGTTTAAACATTACTAATTTTATTTCTATATTTTATTTTATAAGATAGCAACTGAAGCTGTGGAGAATATACATACTATAGTGTCACTAACAAGAGAAAAAGTCTTCGAGCAGATGTATGAAGAGACTCTCTAGAATCAGCACAGGTGACTATGAGCGCATCCTGACTCCACTGACCCACACTGTCTGGACAGCCAGTGCTCCTCAAGGACTGCAGTGCTTTGCTGGTTAACCCACTGGCTTCCCTAAGATGGGATATCATAATTTCTCATGTGACTCCACCAAGAGGAAACAGAGACAAATCAAGGGGAACCACAACTAGAATACACATTTTAGTTCTTCCATGTTACTACAGAGTCCACCAAAAAAACACATACACATTTCAGCAGTTTGCCACACTAATAAATGTCTGAAAGCTAATGACCACTACTTTGCGCACCTCTTATAATTGTCAAGGCCAAAGGTAACTTGTATTAATCTCATGATATCTCAGTAAGTTTAGTATTAAAATGTTTGTATAAGTTTTTCTTTTCCTCATGAATACATTTTTTGGCGTACTCTGTATTCACTCTGTCTTACTAACTGTACATGTTTTTCTTTGTTTTCTGAAATAAGACTGAGGAAACAATATATTCAAGAAAGAAAGATTGCCTATTCTTTTGCATTAAAATCTCTAGGATATTTTACATTTTAAAACAAATATATACACAATAAATGTGCTATTAAACTAGTCCTCCTTATCACACTGACTCAATGGTGACCTTTGTATTACTTTGACAGAGAGATAGCTTTGTACTCTTTGCATTCATGCTTCTGGTCAGCATCACCCTTTAACTGCTACTGTTTATTCTATTAATGCAGGATTACAATAGGAAATTAGAGAGCATTTCTAAATGCCTCCAAACCAAATCTCTTTAACTGTCCTTTCATAGACTTTGTCCATTCACTGGAAAGTAAGCAAAACCAAATTTGTTACACTAAACTATACAGTATATATTTATAGAGAAAATCATTATATCATTATCTTCACTGTAATTCTCAGTAGTAAAAAGAAAATTACATTCTCTTTAATCCTTGAAAATATGTATCTACCAAATTTTAACACTTCAAAGACCTCTATATTCACTATTCTACATTTATTAAAGTGACTTTGCTATAATTCATGCCCCATTATTTGGCAAACTGTGCATTTCAGAAGTACCTTGAAGAAAGCACAGATCATTGGAAGCTGTTATGCATTCAGTCATGCCTTTGTATATTTCGCCTATGCAGCAGGATTTCAATTTGGAGCCTATTTAGTCCAAGCTGGATGGATGACACCGGAGGGCATGTTCGTGTAAGTTACAAACACCATGACTTTAAGTGGATCATGTACTGTCCATGTGGACCAGAAAGGTGATATTTATACAGGATCATCATTTAAACCACTTAGGTGGGAATGACATGCTTTGAAAATGTTTTCTGACAAATAATAATTGTATATATTATACAATATGATGTTTTGATATATGTTTACATTATGGAATGACTTAAGCTAATTTTTGTTCTCATTAAATATCTATAAGAACTATAGCATAGCTGATAAAGTACCAATACTAATATTATACAAATAAGCTGAGTTAAACTCCCAAATGAATCCCTCACTGTTTCTACTTACTATAATTTGGGGATACAGGAGCAAAAAGTGCTTTCTTGGTATTCATTCCCTAGGTAATCTGTGTGATTTTGTGGAATTCCCAGTATAGAGATGCCTTTTAAGTATGACTAACTTTAAGGTTGACTTCTTTGCTAAGCAAATACTCCAGAAAAAAATATACGTAAATGAGTGCTTCCTTTCTAAAAGTCACATTTGGAATTGATTATGAGTACCAAAGAAGCTACTTCTTCCCAAAGTATTGCATGGAGCTTATATTGCGGAAATCTGTTCACATAGTTATGACTTTTTTTTTTTTTTTACTTTAAAGAAACACCTAAATACAGCCAACTGAAATGGTAAAACTTAATTTTGAGGGGTGGGGATTTAGCTAGGTGGCGCCACACCTGCCTGGCAAGCGCAAGGTCCTTAGTTCAATTCCCAGTAGAAAAAAAATTTTAATTAATTTTGAGTGTTAATTCTGAGCTTCCTAAGTCAGAAAATTTGGTAATTTATATCATAAATGTCATTAGAAAATCCATACAGTAGTTTGACTTTAAAAAGTAAGGATTTTTTTAACAACCTATTAAAACATGCTCATCAAAGCAAGGGTCAGCCTCTTCTAAATAGCAATTGGAAGATGATACCTATTCTAAAAAAGCTTCCATTGGCAGAGTTCATTGGAAACTCCTTTCCCAGTGCTGCCTCCCAGGTCTCAGGAAGTTCCTTTTAATATCTTCATTGGTGCCATGTATTTGTATTGAGGAAATGTGTTCAATTTGAGGAAATGCCCAAAAGTCATTTGAAGCCAGATAATTTCAAGAAAACTTGATATAAATTTTAGCTTTTACTCAAATGAAAGTGTTTTTGTTCATTAAGCATGAACTGAGAAAGTTTCTTTGCTAGGTACTGAAGAAAACAATCCATACTTCACCAACCCAGTACTCCAGAATCTTACCTATGCGTTAAAATTTAGCAGTTTAGCAGGAAATGTCACCTAGTAGTTTCTTGAAAGCAGATTTCCTTGTTAAACAGGATATCTGTATTTAACATTTCAACAGAAAAATGCAGGTTCCTGGTTCTACTGTCCTCTTTACCTCTAAAAGAGTGTGGACTACTCCCCATGCCACAATTATAAGGTAACCTTGGGTTTCATTATGACCTATCAGTAAATCAGTCAGATTGCCAACAAATAAAATGTGGAATCTCACAATTTATTCAGTTCACAGGCCCCCATTAAAGTGGTCAGGAGCCCCCCTTGGTTCTAATATAATGTAGGCACTGCCAAACTTAAAAGTTAGTTGTATTCCAAAAGTTTGTTTGCAAACAATTGCTTCAAACACAAAACACATTTTTCTAAACTAACATGGCTTTGTAAATCTCCAAGGTGCCATTCTTTCAGTGTAACTGATCTTAGGTATTTAGAAGAAAACAAATTAAAGAGTCATGCTAATGTAGGCTGTCTGATTTTATAGACCCTAACAGAATTTTCATCTCTTTTTATTAACTTCTGTTAATACTCTTTCTTTGCTCTATAGTCACCTATAAAGGACTTCCCATGACTGGAAGTCCTCTTCTACTAATTTCTTATTTCTCTACTGTCCTTTACAGCAAAATTCCAAATGGGTGCCTGTTCCTGCCCTCATCATCTTCTGATCATTCCATCTCTTCTAATCTCACTCCAGTCAAGCTTATTTCCCACCACACCACTAGAAACACTCACAATCGAGGTCATCACTGACCTGCATCTCACCCACTCATATTCAGTTCTCAGTCTTCCAGTCTCTTACTTGACTTCTCAGTGGCATCTAACAGCTCCTTCCTGAAAGATTTCCTTCTCCAGACTTCTCTAGGATTTTCTCTTTTGTCATTGGCCCATCTCCTGCATTTCGTTTACTGGCTCTTGTTTTTCTGCCTGGTTTTATGTTGTTGAAGGACTTCAGAGTTCTCAGACCTTTCATCTATAAACTCTCATTGGTGATTTCATCCAGCCTTATAATTTCTGTATATTTTCAACCCTGACCCTGAACATCAGACTCTTACCTAACTACCTACTACACACATCCTTTTGGGTACCTAATAATATGTCAATGTGTCCAACACAGAATTCATCTCCTCAAAGGTTCTCTTCCCCCAAGACATCTAAACATGTGTCTTCTTAAATCTCCAGGGACTGTTCTTAACAGTACAGCCCCCTGTACAGTTGCTCATCGTGAAATCTATGAATTATCCCTGTTGCTCCTCTTGTCCTCATCCATCACACAGACTACCAAGTCCTGACAGCTGTAATTCCTAAATACTTCTTGCTCTTTCCACTCATGCCATGTTTGTCCATGTCCTACCTGGTTTGACTAGACCAATCCAACAGTCTTCCCACTGATGTCCCTAGGTTCCCTCCTGCTTCCCTAGAATCCACTCCACACAGCACACAGGTGAGCTGCTAAAGCACAATTCTAATTGTATTAATTTATTAAAAACATTACGGTAACTTCCTACTGCATTTTTGTTGTGGTGGTGGTGGTGGTGGTTACCAGGGATCAAACTCCAGTCCTTGTGCTTGCGAGGGCAGGCAGGCGAGGGAACCACTGAGCTAAATCCCCAGCCCCTATTGAAATTTTAATAAAGTGAAATTCCTTACCGCAATCTGAAAGCCCTTCAAGATGGGGCTTCTTCCTTTCTAGCTTTACCCACTACTATCCCCCTTGCAAACTATACATCAGCCCCACACTTGAGATTTATGTCTCTGGAACACTCCATCTCGAAGTCTTGGCACTTTCTTTTCCCTTGTACCTGGAATGATGATTTCCCAGAGTCTTTGTTGTGTTGTCTCTTTCTTACCATCTAGGCATCCATTCCTAAGTTTACTCATCAAAGGGACTTTCACTGATGACCTAAAAATGGTTCCTTTACCCCTCCTTCATCTTTCCCATTACTATGTCTTACTCCTACATGATACTATCTTTTGTTTTTGTACTTGTTTAGTTCATAGGCTGAGGACAGGTCTCAGCCTATTTTGTTCACAGATGTTTCCTAAAAGCCAAAAACAAAAGGCTGGCGTGGCACATTGAAGGAACACAATAAATACTCATTGAATGAATAACTGAATCAAAAATAAAGGGAGAGAGCTGGAGGCATAGCTCAGTGGTATAGTCCTTGCCTACCATTCATAAGACCCTGAATTCAAGCCTCAGCATGACCCAAAATAATTAATTAGTTAACTAAAGGGGGAAATTTGGAATAGTGCCTAATTAGGCAGTCCAGTTATTCCTAGAAACATGCCTCCAGAGTCAGCTTCACATGATTTCTTTTTCCCTGTTATCTATAGCCATCCTACTGTCCAATAACACCCTAGAACTTCTTGCTCCAAACTGTAATTCCCCACTGATGAGTATCTTCCCATTTCCTCTCCCCTCCCCCAAAATATTCACTCTGCTCTCCGGGAACCAGGTTGGTTTCAAAAGCATTGTTGGTGCATTGTTCAGAAAGAAACAGAAATCTACATAGAGAATAGTCTGTCCCTAAAGTCTCTCCCTGGGGCCAGGCTAGGCCCATATGCCTCATCTACGGTTAGCAGCTCTGGGCATAGTCACCATGGATAGGAGAGACCCAGGCTCCTGTGTCACACCTGTGGCCACCAATAACACCAAAGTGTGTCATACCCTGAGCCCACAGCTCACTAAACCAGAACAACATGGGTTAGAACCCAGGCTCACACTCTGATGGGCTGTATATTGCTGAGGGGGACTCATGGCATAAGAATCAGCCACACACATGATGCTAGCTGAAATAGAAGCCCCACAGACTAGGGCTGTGTGTCCTCCCCTTGGCTCAGGCCTGGGATGGGGGCTATTAGAATCTGCCCAGTGTTAGGTTTCAACAGCCCAGCACTTAGTTCCAGGGCAAAGTCATGTACTTACTACCCTGTCCTACCCACAGCAAGTGGGGTCTTGTACCATGCTATGCTGCCCGAGGTTGGGGCAGTATTGGTGATGACAGTCTCTTGCCACCTGGGCTGATGCTAAGCCAGATTGTGCCTGAGTCTCATGACCTGAAGGACCTGCACAGTTTTAGCTTCACTGGGCCCTCACCACAGCTGGTGGTCATGTGGGCCGAAACACAGTCCACCCCACAAAGTGTAAGCCTCTGCCTGGTGCTAGGGTAGGTTCTAGAGCCCCATTTGTGAGTATTCACCTGGCTAAAGCCATACCGCTCAAGGTCAGAGCAGTGAAGGAGACAGTCCCTTGGCCAGCAAGGCTGGTGCTAAACTGACTTAGTCATCCTTCAGTCTCACAGCAACAGGGGCCTGCATGGTCTCTGGAGAAGAGCAGGTGCACCTTCAAGACTGGAAATGATGCAGCCAAAACAAGTCTGTCACTCTGCTGCTCACAGCCAGTCTAGAGGCTCTATCTATGAGCTCTATCCTGGCCTGTGTATGCCCCTTCTGTTCCTACTGGGTGCTGAATCTCCCTGCAGCAGCCCTGGAAGCCTCTGAGATCAAGCCCTGTGCCAGCTTCTGGGTCCTGCTTCCTAGAGGGTTGATCTGGGGTTCTGCAGCTGCCTCCCTAATGCAGCTCCAGATACTCATTCAACTGGTGTAGGGGTCATGGAGCTGTGCCAGGCACTGAGTTTCACCACAGCAGGCCTGGTACTGGCTTTCAAGACTAGGCCTGGACTTCCTTTTTTCTCCATCACCCAACCTGAAGGCATCTCTCTCCTCCTGGCCTGCTTGCAGTCAGGGAGGGGTGATTTGGGCAACTCTTCCCTTCTTGCCTTCTTCAAGGAATCTTTTTTGGTTTGGATTTGTTATACTAAAAGCAGGCCCCATGGTCTCTCAGCTGAATTTCTAGCTGATGTGAAAGTAGCCTGGTGCATGTACAGCTGTTCAACTTGGGCTGTCTGTAGAGAGACATCACCACATGACCTTATTCAGCCACCATCTTGCCAGTGACTCCCTCAGGATGTTTCCAGAAAGGGGCCTCCCAAGATTGCCAATGGGTCTATTATTTACCATAATCTCGACAACAGCAAGCCCTGAGTACATTTTTATTCACTATTAAAGACTCATCATGTATTACTTACTTACTCCTCTGAACTACCCTGTGAAATATTCCCATGTTACAAATAGAAATCATTAAACCTCAAAGAGGTCACTTGCTCAAATTCACATAACTAACAAGGAGCAAAGCATAAAATTTACTTTCATGACTCTGCATACCAAAGGCTTTGTTTAATAAGCATTTATTAAAATCCTGTAGATATTTTTCATAGAATATTTCTGAAAAGTCACTTTTTAAATAATTCTTGCTTAGTTTTCCATTTAAATATCTAGGGCTAGACTGATTCTTAACACAAATGGAACAGGTAATTTGCTTTACATCATTTTATGGCCCTATATTGTAAGAGAATCAAAGGGCTTCAATACAACCCCCCCCCCACTGGCCTACTACCTTTACTGAATTTTTTAAATTAAATTTATTTCAATGGGTCATCTTTTAGAGACATGAGCATTTTAGTTGTCACGTCACCATCACATGCAGGACCATTAACATAAGAGTAATGATTAATGATAACATCACCTTGGTATTTCCCAGTGCCCCGAGGGAAGGGAGAAACAGGAAGCTATCTGAGCGGGTTTTTATCTGAGTGTCATTCAGATTACAGCCACGCCGGTAGCACACACCTGTAATCCCACCACTCTGAGTGGCAAAGGCAGGAATATTGCAGATTTGAGCCCAGCCTGGGTGATTTAGCAATTTAGCAACACCCTGTCTCAAAGTAAAAAAAATTAAAAATTAAAAAGGTCTCAGTATTTAGCTCAGTGCCAAGGCCCTTGATTCAATATCTAGAAACATACACACACACAAAAGAATTACAGAGTAAGCATGTCTATGCTATTATAATATGGACAAAAAGAGATTCTCTGGGGAAAAAAAGGAAAAAAAGGAAAAGGGTGCAGCACTGTCTTCAACATCAAACCTCCAGTCTTCTCAGAAACCCAGTGTGACCCCTACTGTCAAA